TACCTCGTTCCTTTTTACAGCTGCATAATATTCCAATGTTTGGATCTGTTGCGTTTTGTTTCCATTCATCTGTTGATGGACATTTGGGTTGTTTCCTTTTGGTCTTTGTAGATAATGATGTTATAAACGTTTCTGCAAGAGTTTTTGTTTGAACACCTGTTTTCAGTTCTTGGGTGATCTCTGGGGCGCGAATTGCTTGGTCAGGTGGGGATTCTGTTCATCCGGCCATTTTTTTTTACAACGGAAGCTCCGTTCTGCACGTACTGACAGGCAGTGTCCTGAAGAAGACTGTTGGCTGCTGTAGGACCCACAGATGGCAGGCAGTGGGTGGAGGGAGCAGGGAGACCCATCCAGAGGCTGTTGCCATCATCCGGGGAGGAGGTGACGGTGGCAGAGACGTCGTTAGCAGGAGCCGAGGTGGGGCCGTGAGGGGTGAGGCTGGATTCAAGATTGGGAAGGGAGACTCACAACTGACAGAGAACCTCGGGAGGACCCTAGCCCTGGGGGAGAGCAGCACAAAGGCTTCTGTGGTCAGAGGTGAAGTGAGAGCGGCCAGGGGGACTGGCGTCCTGGGGACGGTGAGGGGTGTCTGCACAGTGACTGGTGCTCACTTCTGCAGGGGAGCTGGGCTGCCGGAGAAGCCTCCTGAGGACGAAGGTGTCCCTCTGGAAGACACCTTGATGGGCGCTGGGAGGGGGGGGCTCTGAGACAGGAGGAAGAAAAGACAGAAGGGTGAGGGGACGGATGGGGGGATGGATGGAGGAGATGATGGATGGATAAGATAGATGGATGGATAAGATAGACGGCTGGAGGGACAGGTGGACAAGGTGGGTGGGTGGGTGGGTGGGTGGATGGATGGATGGATGGACGGATGGAGGAGTGGATAAGATGGATGGGTGGATGGGTGGGTGGGTGGATGGACGGATGGGTGAGTGGATGGATAGATGGATGGATGGATGGATGGATGGGTAAGATGGATGGGTGGATGGATGGAGGAGTGGGTAAGATGGATGGGTGGATATATAGATGGATGGATGGGTGGGTGGGTGGGGAGACAGCTCTGTGTATGTATATGTAAATGGGCGGGTAAGACAAATGGGTGGGTGGACGGAAGGATGGATGGACAAGCGGATGGGTGGATGGTGAGTGTCCTCTGTCCTTCCACGTGCGTGCCAACCTGCAGAGGACAGCTTGTCTCTGTGCAGACCTTGTACAGCCACTCTGCGGCCGGGAGGGCTGGTGGCGGCGGCTGTGGCTGGGCCTGGCCTCTCACCTCCCCCTCCTGTGTCTGCGGGGGATCTGCTTCTGGGGACTGGGTGCCTTCGCTTTCCACAGGGCCCTGAAGAGCAGCGAGGCTCACCAGAGCTCTCCACCGTCTTGGCAGCACCTGTGTTTTCTGGGCTGAGGCCGAGGTTGCCGGGAGGCGGCGGGTCTTGCAGGCCTTAGAGGCCACGGGGACCTTGGATTGGATTCTGAGAGGAGGGGACCCGTGCCAGGGGGCGGATGTGGTGGCTTCATCTTATTTACATTCCAACGGCTGCTGGGGTGTGTGGATGGCGGGCGGGAGGGACAGACAGGAGCAGGGGAGACGCTCGGAGCTCCAGACACCCTGGTCCTGGCTCTGCTGCCCGACGGCCAGGCTCGCGTGCAGTCCAGTGGGTGCTTTGGGGCAGTTCCTGAGGGCCAGGCCCAGCCTCCTGGGTGCCGAGGGGGCCATGGAGCGTTCTGGGCCCCTTGTGGGGCTGACAGTGCAGGGGAAGAGGCAGAGAGGGAGGTGACAGGTGTGACTAGCGGGACACACGGGGGTGGGGCCTCAGAGGGACCTCATGGAGGCGGAGGCCAGGCTCCCAGGGGGCTTCCTGGGGACACTGGTGTTTCAGCTGAGGACGTGAGGCTGGCGGGACTCAGCCGAAGGACACAGGCATGGACCAGGGCGCAGTTTCACCCGGGAAGCCAGTGTGGCTGCGTCAGGAGTTAGGCCAAATGTGACTACCTTATGGTTACGTGCAAGTGGTGCGTGCGTGTGTGTGTGTGTGTGCACGTGTGTGTGTGCAGGGCTGGGCACAAGCTGGTCAGCCCTGGGGGTCAGCTATAGATGGGTCATGAGACTCCAGACTCCAGAGGCTGGCAGAGCCGAAGTTGTGGCAGAGCACACGGGGATCCTACCTGAGGGTACTGGGGAGCCACTGATTCTAAAAGAGAGAGGGTATCGCTCCTCCTGTCTTTGTTCCTCTCTCATCGTGGACCTACCGTCCGAGCCCACCTGGGTGAGAGGGGCCTTTCAATCGGAGACCTTAGGAACGAACCCACGTGCGGTGCCTTGGTATAAGAGGTACGGCAGGGAGAATATTCCCAGGGTAATCATCTCTCTTAGATAAAAATGACCTTCTCCCTGTTATGCTCATAAAGGTTTTGTTTTGAAAGTTTAGGAAACAGACTAGAAAACTGAGCCCGATGAGAAGCCTGCGGTTCTACTGCGGAGTGGTCACCCGGCTCCTGGCTGGTTGGTGATCCTGCCTGTCATTTAAATTCACACATAATCAGGATTTGTATATAAAAGGACTCATGATCCACACCTGCTCTATGTGCTTTTGCGTGTTTCTTTCACTTGGTGACACAGTGTGGACGGCTCCCGGGCTCCTGTCCCAGGGCTGCAGAGGCCAGGTCCACGGACCCGCTGGAAATCACAGGAACGTATTACGGCGTCAGAGGCCAGAGGCCCAGCCACGGTGTCTGCAGCGCGGCTCCCTCTGGGCCCGTCGGGTGGCCCTCCTGGCCTCTCCTGGCTCTGGGGCTGGTGGGCACTCTGGTGTCCACAGGCCTGCAGCCATGTCCCTCTGATCTCTGCCTTTGTCTTCCTGTAAGGACCCTGTCATCCTGGACTGGAGACCCACCTTACGACCTCATTTTAACTAATCACCTCTGTAACCCCCTGTTTCCAAACACGGTCGCATTTCGAGGTGCTGGGATCAGGACCTCAACCTGAGTGGGTAGGAGATGCAATCCAACTCCTCACGCCTTTCCCTGTCATTACATTTTGATTTGTTTGTTTTTGTTTGGGTATTGGGGATTTTACCCAGGGGTGCTTTACCACGAGCCACATCCCCATCCCTTTTTATTTTAAATTTTGAGACAGGGTCACTAAATTGCTTGGGGCCTCACCAAGCTGCTGAGGCTGGCCTCCAACCTGCAATCCTTCTGCCTCAGCCTCCCAGGTTGCTAGGATGCACCACGTCAGGGATGCACCACTACACCCAGCTGTTAGTTTTTAATTGCTACAAAAGATTGCTTTTGATGGATGGACAAGTGTCCAGTGACCAGTCCTCTGTCACGTGGAATTTCCAATCTGCACAAGGACCTTGAAACCATCTGCACAGACATTTCCTCTGCAAGGACCTTGTTGTGGGCATGACCTAGACTCACCAAGCAGCTTCAATCCCTGCCCGCCTATGGCAGACTCGAGTTCTTTGAAACACCAGACAAGAACACAAAGGGAACCTTGCCTGACCAGAGCAGTGACTTGACCAAAATTCCCCCTGTGCAGTCCCGGCTCCTCCAGATCTGGCCGCGTGTTGGAACACGACCTGTTCTAAGTAGATGGTGTCAGTTACTCAGGCTAAGGTGAGGAATGTTCTAGTCCACCCAGGTTCTGTGCATGGGCGGAAAAAAAAGATGTCACTCTACCTCTCAGGATACTACCCCCAAAGGAAACCTGTGTCTGAAAGTTCTAGAACCTCCCCGACCTGAGCAGAAAGCCTCAGAAACACACACACACACACATACACACTCTCACAACACACACACTCACACACACACACTCACACACTCTCACACACACACTCACACACTCTCTCACACACACTCACACACTCTCTCTCACACACACTCACACACACTCACATACATACACACTCACACACACACTCATACACGCACACACTCTCACACACTCTCACACACACTCACACACTCACATACATACACACTCACACACACACACTCATACACGCACACACTCTCACACACACTCACACTCTCACACACATACACACTCTCACACACACACACTCACATACATACACACTCACACACATACACACTCACACACACTCACTCTCACACACACACTCTCACACACACTCACACACACTCACATACATACACACTCACACACACTCATACACGCACACACTCACACACACACACGCACACACTCTCACACACACTCACACACTCACTCACATACATACACACTCACACACTCTCACACACACTCTCACACACTCTCACACACTCACACACTCTCACACACACACTCACACTCACACACACTCACACACACTCTCACACACTCTCACACACACTCACACACTCTCACACACACACACTCACACACTCACATACATACACACTCACACACTCACACACACACACACGAAGCAGGGCCTGCCCTTCTTGCTCTGTCTCATTTGATTATCCCAGTGACCTGGCCACCAGGGCAGGGCCACTCTACAGGAGTCTCCAAGTGTCCTGCTCCAACCGCGTGGCCTCAACCTCGCCACCACCAAGACTAGGGAGCCCCCGGGTGTGCACACCCCTGCACCCCCTACTTCATCTTCCCCTGTGACCTTGGAGGACAGGAGGGTGCTCTGCACCCCGACACCCAGGGAGGGGAGGCAAGCCCTGGGGACACACGCTCAGACCCGGCGGGCACAGCCGGGAGGTGCGGGTGCTGGGGTGGAACCCGGCTGCCCGACTCCCCGGCCACATTTCCAGTCCCCAAACTCCTCACCGTGGGCTGGGACAGGCTGGGACCCTCCTGGCTCTGTCAGCTCAAGGACGGCAGCTTATGTCCATCTGACAGCGCAAGAGACGTGCAGACCCAGGAACATGGCCGCGGCTCCGACGCCCCTGACCAGGTGGCCCTTAAGCTGTGAGCCAGGTGGAAGGGGTGGAGCCACCTGGTGGGCGGAGCTTGCGGGGTCCGCAGAGGAACTCACCTGGGAACGGTTTGGTGCATCTTTCTGGGAGTTGGTCCGCGTGGTTCCTCGTGAGAGTGGGTCCTGCCTTCGGCCCAGACAGAACCAACACGGGATCCACAGCAGAACTTCAGATCTGTACGGTAGGTTTTCTGGAAACTGCTGTCAATTTTATTGAGAAAAACCAATTGCCTTTCAGCATCCCAGTCCTTAAAGAGCCTCCCCCTGACCCCGAACCACGCACCCCCAGGTGCCTAGGAGACAGATGAGGGAGGAGCCAGTCGTGGTGGCGCACACCTGTAATCCCAGCCACTCGGGAGGCTGAGGCAGGAGGATCGTGAGTTAGAGGCCTGGTAATGTAGGGAGACCCTCTGCAGCTTAGCAAGACCCTGTCTCAAATTAAAAAAATAATAATCTAAAAAAGGACTGGGAATGTTGCTCAGTGGTAAGCGCTTCTGGGTACAATTCCCTGAACCACAAACAGAAAAACCCAGAAATGAAACAGAGAGTAGGAAAGAGGGTGTTTGGATGGACAAAGCTTGGTAGAGAAAATCAGGGGTGCATCTGGAAGCACCCCACCACCCAGGGTCCACAGACTCTGCCTCAGCCTTGGGCCCCTGTGTCCCTTCATGTCCCCCGCAGCCACCTAGGTCTAAGCCACCTGCGGCTGAGCCTATGCACTGATGGGTCTCCCCGCCTGTCCTCCGGGTCCTTCCTGTCCTCTGGCCTCACAGAGGCTGAAATGACTTCTAACCTCCCGCTGTGGGGACAGCGTCCCTGGGAAGCTTGGGATGGTGGCTGCACAATGGGACTGACCGGCGGGCTCTCCTGGTCTCCTCCTCCTGTCCCTTCCAACTGCACTGGCTCAGCCCCTCCCCTGCTCCTGTCCCCAGCTCGCCCCTGCCTGGGGCCTCTGCATTTGCTGGCATCTCCTGCCCCTGGAGCTCTGCAGGGCCACCCCCTCCTCAGCACCCAGGGTGTCACTAGCTCCTGCCTCTCGGTGGAGGCTGCCTGGATCCCGTCCCTCGCCACCTGGCCGTTGCTGTCCCCCGTGGCCCTATCACCACGCAGACCGTCTTTTTACTGACCTCTCTGACTCGCCCAGTGGAATGCGAGTCCCTTTGAGAAGCGTCAGAAAACCGAGGTGCTCAATCAACATGGCTGAGGAGGGAGGATGGGCCGGTGGTCAGGGCTGTCCTCAAAGTTGAAGGTCAAGCAGACCCCAGCCAGCTCTCAGGGAAGCAGGAGTGGGCCTGGGGGTCCCAATGTTGCAGGTGAGTGACGGGGTGTCCCCCAAATCCAGGGAGGCACAGCTTCACCCCATTTAGTGGTACATGATGGTCCCCGCTGGGGAGAGCCAGGCCACGGGCCGTGAGGACCCCGCAGACTCCAGCGGAAACCATGTGGCTAAGGGCTGCCGCTCCCACAGAAACCTGCAGGAGAGCCAGGCCGTCGGGCAGCCGCGGTGCTCCCAAGAGGGCCGATCAATCTCCGTTTGATTTGTTTAAAGACAACAAATAAACAATGTGGGGCTCTTTGCAAGGTCTGGGTCCCTCCTTTGCTGAAATTTGGGGAAAGGAGGCAATTTGAAATTGCCGGTTAGGACGCGACAGGCAGATCACATCCACGGCTCAATCGGATCCCCCTGTAATCATAGCTAATAACTGTATTTTTCTACTACTAAACAATCCTGATTTTTTTTTAAAAAAAATCTAACTATAGAGCTGGCTGAATGACACTAGCCTGCTCTCTCCCACTTTGTTCTAATTTCGTCCCAGGCTGAGGGTGACCGGCTGACCCTCGGAGGGGGAGAGCCTGCAGGGGTGTCTGCAGAGACTTCTTGAGAAACCCAGGACTGCACACCTTTCCTAGAATTCAAAGGGCCCCTGTTTTTTTCTAGGATCAGAACACAGAAGGCTCCTCTGCCTCCACTGGCTCTTATTCCGGGCACTTCCTTGACCTCTGCCAATCCCTGAGCACACAAATATGTCCCTCCCTCAGCAGAGTCCTTTGATGACTTCCCCACGGCTGCCCGGCTACCTCTGAACCACTCAGGTGGCTTGCCTGGCCCAGCCAGCCTGGCCCTGACCCACCTCCTGGCCCCAGCTTCCTCCCATCCCCACACAAGCCTTTTTTGTTCACGTTCAGCTGCGAGAATTATTTTCTGCCGTCCCCGCTGCATGGTCAAGGTCAAGGGCTCTGGGAGCTGGGAGGCTCCTTTCTAATTCTGGCTCCACCACTTATGGCTGTGTGACCTTGAGCAAGTCATCTGACCTCTCTGGGCTGCAGGGCCACACCCAGGACACAGGGATGCTGGGAGTCTTTGCTGCATAAGGGAGCTGTGGCAGCAGGCACACTGGTCACGGCCCGGTGCCGGGGCAGTGGTTGGCACATGTATGTGCCCGGCAGAGGGTGGTTGTGAGCGTCTCTCCTCTGAAGTGATTTTTTCCTTTCTGCACCTGCCATTTTCTCAGCCAGGATTACTTTTCTGCTCCAATCCTCCCTCCCTGTCGGACTCATCTTCTAGTTTTTAGCGTGGACATGGCCACTTCCTGGAACCCTTCTGGGGCCACATCTTGGATTGGGTTCCTGTCCCTGAATCCAGTGGCACCCTCAATGTCCTCAGATGTCACCCATTAAAAAAAAAAAAAAATATATATATATATATATATATATATATATATATATTAGTTGTAGGTGGACACAACACCTTTATTTTATTTATCTTTATGTGGTGCTGAGGATGGAACCCAGGGCCCCACACGTGCCAAGCGAGTGCTCCACCGCTGAGCCCCAGCCCCAGCCCCCCTCCCCCAGTGTGCTCTAAGGGCCTGTTTGTGCATCTGTCTGACCAAGAGCCAGGGTTTCTCAACCTCAGCACCATGGACACTTGGGGCCAGCTCGTGTCAGGGGTGGAGGGGGGTCTTGTGTGTTGAGCGGCACCCTGACCTCCACCCTGGTCTCCGTCACTCTCCGTTGTGACAACGAACACAATGTCTCCAGATGTGGCCGAGCCCCCCTGGAGCTGGGCATGACATCTCCCCTGGGTGAAGCCATCACACTAGACTCTGAGCTCTGACTGGGCAGGAGCTCGGCTGTCTTGCTCGCCCTCGATCCCCAGCCACTCAAAGGGCACGGAGCATGTCCATGCCCCCACAATGGCACATCTGTCAACGCTGGACCAAGGATAAGACCCACGACCCGAAGATCCCTAATGGAGCAGGAAAGTTCCTGTCACCTAGTGGCCTGGGGCAGGTGACGTCCCAGTGTGGAAGTCCAGCACACACTGTGTAGAGCCTGCCATGCTTGATGGTGACAATACAGGACCGTTGCTGCTTCATGCATGACCACGGGATGCTTCATATCATTCTAGAATATTCCTTCTCCTTAGAAAAAAGCATTTCCCATAAAACAGCGCTCCGTGTCACATGCCACCACGCGTCACATGTTCCGTCTTTTGACAGTGTCGCTTTCTCCCTCTTCCTTGTGCTTGGTTTCACCTCATGCTGCCGTGGTCCTCACGGCCCTAGGAGCAAGACGGTGCAGTCCACACGCCTGCACACGCGTGGGCACACACACGCACACGTGCACAGCCTGGGCGTGTTGGGCTGTGCCCTCTGGGTTTGGGTGAGTCCGCTCTGTGACGTTTTCACAGTGGCCTGTTGCTTGGGACACGTCCCCATCCTCAGGGGACAGGACTGCTCTCACTCGGTCCTCCCAGTGTCCAAAGAATGGCTGAAAAGCGACCCTGGACTGAGTCCCCAAGCAAGGGACAGTGGCTGCCCCCAGGAGACCGAGCTGCCTGCCGCCTGCGCGGTGCCTGCTGTGGGGCTGGCTCCGCCAGTGGCCGGTGACCGTCCTCTCAGGGTCTGAGAGCCGCTGCTGCGACGCCCAGGAGAGCTGGAGAGGGGGCATCTGCGGCCCTCCCAGGCCCCGCGCGTCCCCACCTGCGGGCAGGGCCGGAACCTGTGCTCTTGCAAGCTCACGGGGTCTGACTCATGCTCAGCCCTTCCCGCCCCCTGGCTGCTCCTGGAGTCCGCCTGGAAGACTTTTTAAGGAAAGGGCGTCTGCAGGTGACAGTCTCCCCACCCGGCTGCAGGAGAAGCTCAGGTGGGGGCTGACAGTCGCACTTTCCACCTGCATCAGGTGATCGCCATGCACCCAGGGACAGGTCCCTGTGCAGACGTCCCCCCCCATCCCTCTGCCTCCCACCTGAGACCTTTGGGAGAGTGCATTAACTCTCCAGGCCACCAGAGGGCCCGTGGCAGCACAGAGAAGGGACAGGTGATCACTTCAGGGCATGGGGCACACAGGGTCACGGACCTCAAATGCACAGGTAGAGTGACAATCGGGGACCCCCCTCCTAGCTCTCCACGGGAAATACCCAGCGCGGAGCAGGAGGCGTCCGGAAGGGCTCAGAGGCCGAACCCCGGCTCTCGCAGCAACCCTCTGAGAGCAAAGAGGGCTGAGCCGCTCTGCAGGCTCTGGATTTGCCACACCAGGTTCAAAGCCAGGTGCAGGATGCTGTAGCAGAATTGGTTTCTGAAGCCCTCCGTGTCTCTGGGACCATGAAAGCTCCCGGGGTCAGAGGTGGCTGCAGTGTAGCCTACAGAGCAGATGTGACGTCAGACGCACCTGTCTCCAAGGAGACCGCCTCCCCCTCCCAGTTCCCCCATCTCACCTGGAGGTGACACGAGAGGGTCAATCGCTAGCACAGAGCATGCTCCATGACTCAAGGTGCCCAAAGCTGCCACAGGACCAGCAGCAGCACCCAGAACTTGTTAGAAATGCGAGTTTTCAGGCTTTGCCTCCAAATATACAGAATCAGGTACTCTGGGGGTGGGGGAAGTCACTTCGCTCGTAAAACCAGAAGCGGAGCAGTACCTCTGTCTCAGGCCCTCTGTAAGGATGTCTTCAGTCTGTTTTCAGTCACTACAGCAGAAAACCTGAGCCTGGCTCATTTATAGAGGAAAGAGGTTTATTGAGCTCAGGGTTCAGGAGGCTGGCGAGTTCAAGAGAATAATCCCAGCATTTGCCAAGTGCCTTGTGGTCCAGCAAAACATGGCAGAAAGCAGAAGGGCAAGCAGGCGTGGGCAGCAGAGCCCAACACAGGGGCAGCCTCCATCTGTAACACCACTTTCAAGGTAACTGATCCAGTCCCATGAAAACTGTTGGTCTCTCTTCACAACCTAATCCCCTCTTAAAGGCTCCCTCTGCCCAACAGCAATCAGAGTTCAAGGGGACAAACCATATTCAAGGCGTAGCAAAGGGTTAAATGAGATGGACGTATAAACGATTTAGCACAGTGCCTGGCGGTATCGTCTTCAAAGTTCCTGCCGCGTGCAAGCTTTGGAAAGAGGTTCCTTAAAACTCTGCACAAATTCCTCTTGTTGGACTTTGCCGAGTGCTGATTTTGGGCTCAGAATGCTCCCCGTGGACTACGGCATATGGAACAGGAGCAGCACGTCCAAAGGGCCCCACGGACACCTTGGCCGGCCCTCCCGTTCACTCTGAGGGAGGCTGTCACTAGGAGCAGGCAGCTACTTACTGTGGGGTCCCGTGATGGACGGTGATCTATTTAAGTGTGTCCAGCTGTCAGAAAGACCAGCTGTCCCTCTGCCAAGCAGGAATAAAGACGTGGGCTTGGGGCAGAGGACACTCAGACGGCCGAGAGGACCCGTGGGTATTCACTGGTGGCAGAGGAGAGGGGACGGGGGCCGAGGGGGGCAGCGTAGGCAGCTCTGTGTGGCCTTGCAGGGCTGGTGGAGTCCCCAGAGGACCGAGTGGAGGAGGAGGAGGTCTCTGCCTGATGTTTGGGAATTTTCTGGTGGGAGAGGGGACGGTGGAGTCAAAATGGACCTGTCACAAGATTGAACAACCAGGTGACACGGGGAGAAAGGCTGGGTGGAGACGGCGGCCCTCGGCCGGCTGGGGCTTGGCTCCCTCTGCTCTCCTGGCAGGGACCTCTGTCCTGGTCACATCTCCTGAGTCTCTCCCCACTGGTCCCAGCAGCTAAGGGCCACCTTTCTCTGAGACTGGAACTGGTCATTAGAAATTGCATGCCAGTGTGGCCATCTGCCACCGGCCAGAGTGGACAAGACTAATACCTTCAGGAAATGAGCCAGAAACAAGAGGGCAAGGGATTGACACCAAGAGAGACCAAGGAATGCACCGGTCACAGAAAGCAGTTAAATGAGAACACGGCTCTTAG